GATAGATAGATAGTAGTCGGGGAAATCAAAACACCACAGTTATCATCATCTTGCCTTGATCTGTTAGTCTGATGCTGACTTTTAGGAGAAGACAGGCTGGTTAGCTTGTAGAATGTCCCCAAACAATCATGATTGTTTTTTCATGATGCCATTTAAATAATCTCTTGTACCTTCTATAGACTACAAGTTAGGTCTAGAGGTTTGATCAGTTTCAGGTTAAGCATTTTAAACAAAATACTTAATAATTGTCAAGAATAATTCATAGGTGCTACTGTGCTACCCACTACTAATGATGTTAAATTTTCTACATAATTAACAAATAATCTGTAGAGTGGCATTTTGGTTCTATTCAAAAACAACCTTTTACAAATGCTTCTAACATTTGCTATGGATTGAATGTTTGTGTCCCACCCCTCAGAATGCATATGTTGAAACCTAAGCCCCAAGTGATAGTACTAGGAGATGGGGTCTTGGGAGGTGATTAGGCCATGAGGATGGAGCCTTTATGAATGGGATTAATGCCTTTATAAGAAGAGACAAAGGAGCTAGCTCACCCCTTTTTTACCATGTGAGGATACAAGAATACAGCTATCTGTAATCTGGAAGTGGGCCCTCACCCAACCATACTGGTACCATAATCTTGGACTTCTAGCCTCCAGAACTGTGAGTAATTTCTGTCTGTTGATAAGCCACCCAATTTATGGTATTTTGTTATAGCAACTCAAGATGACTAAGACAACATCCCTTGAGGTTCTTTGCCTGAATCAATTATTACATGGAAGTTTTCAAAATAGTAATTTATTAATTATACTAGAGGCCCAGTGCACGAAATTCATGCATGGGAGCGGGGGGGGGGGGTCCCTCAGCCCCGCCTGCACCCTCTGCAATTTAGGACCCCTACACCTTTTTCTTATCTAGCTAACCTCTTCACATTTAAAAAAAATTAACTGAAATACCACCTACTCTAGGAAATCCTCTTTGAACAAATCTCTTTATAATGTGTATTAAGTATTTTATAGTATATCATTCTTTTTCTTTAACAGCAACTTAGAGTGGATGCAATGTGCTTCTCATTCTTGCATCTGAATTTTTTCTTCTTGTTCTTGTAATAGCGAAGCTTATCCAATTTACATTTGCCCTTCAAGGGCTTATATTTGGTTCAGTTTCTAGTTGGCTCCCTGCTTTTTTTTAAGCAATAAATTTGGGTTGTGATAGTAAGCCTCACTTATAATCAAGCCTGTAGGTCTCCCTATCTGAATATTTCTATAATACCTATCACTGTAGCATACCAGAGATTGTGTTCATTTATAGAAAATAACAGTAAGTGTCACCTGATCATTTGATCTTCTAGTAATATTTTATAGGAAGATGTATTATTCTAGTAATTTAACTATTACAAAACTGAGGCGTACAGAAATAAATCACATTGAACAATAAAGAATGACTCAAATATCAAAGCATAGTACCCTTAGGGCCTCCCTTGTCCTGTGCCTCAGACATCATAGCATATTACACAGTTCACATGGAACTCAGTTTCCTTTAAAATAGGAAGGGATCCCATACTCATGAAGTAGCTACTTCCACACATATTTTTTTATTTAATTCACAGCACATACTCTTTGTACTAATTGTTGGAAAATCATCCAGGCAATTGCCTCTGTTCCTTTCTGTATTGTTGCCTTACATTCTGATGTCATTACTGCGCTTTTATCAGCCACTCGCTCTAATAAGATTGTAAATTATTTAAGGGCAGAGATCATGACTTGAGCTTGTGTTTCCCTGTCATGGTGCCTAGATAAATACTTAAATGCCATCCAATCCAAATGACTGTGATGAGAGAGCCCACCGTTGCTGGAAACCTCTGATGTTTATTTAAGGGGCCTCACTTGTTCTGTGCCTTTACAGAGGGGTGAGTAAGGGCTGAGGGAATTTGAGGAAACCCAGACAGAATTCTCCTCCTAAAAGATTTTGCTAAGCTAGAGCCCGGGACCGCCGGGCATTTGTCCAATTAAAACCCGGACACACAGGAATAGCAAAGGCACTGGTCTCCTACTGCTAATGCCTAGGGATCAAACCCCAGCCTGCAGGAACTCGTCCCCGCAGTCAGGACTGGGCCGCTGGGTGGACCTGGGCCGATACTCCTAACTCTGGGGAGAGGGAGACTTCCCGTGGCTGCAGGCTAGAGGCCCCGGACTCCATGCCACCCACCCGAATAGGTCTATAGTGCAGGCTGGTCAGCAGAGCGGCTTCTTCACCTGGGATCACAGGGAGGCCTGGCCTGGCCTGTTAGCCCCATGATTGCAGAGAGGCCTGGTCTGGCCTGTTCACCCCATGATCACAGGGAGGCTTGGCCTGGCCTGCCAGGCTGGGGGGCGTGGACCCGCGCTGCTGCTTGGCACTGGCACACACGCAAGTGGCCACAGGGCGGGAACATCCGTTTGGTGCCTGCGCCTGTAGGTCCGGAGTGGGCGGGGGTGTTCTGGGACCCCAGCTGCTCAGGGCCTATGTGCGGGCCTACAGGCTAGGAGTGGCCTGGGTCCCAAGGATGTTCCCAGGCTGCCTGTGTATGCAAATTAACCCACCATCTTTGTCGGGTTAATTTGCATACTCTCCTGATTGGCTGGTGAGTGTAGTGGAGGGACGGTCAATTTACATGTTTCTCTTTTATTATATAGGATATTTTTTTCTTTCTTTATTAGGTGACATTCTTCTATAAATAATTGCTGTAGTAAATACTGTGGTGCTCTGCTCAGATCTCCTCTTCAGGGCCAGTACATTATCCCCAGTTTCTGGGAAAGTCAGCTACTGAATTCACAGCTGTCTCTCATTGGGAATGGCCCTCAGATATAGGGAACTGCTTCACTCAGGGTTACACACTCACTTCCCACCCCTGCCCAGGAATCAGGCAGTAGTCAATGAGTATCTGATGTCGGAATAAAACATACAGCCCGTTCTCCTCAATTTACTACAATTCTGAAGGGCTATCCCAGCTCCACAGCTCCCTGTAGTATTGTCTGAGGCCTCAGTTGTAACTGCATTGCAAGTTAATTCTCCCTCTGTCCAATTCTATCTTCCTTAACCTTTACAGATTATTTCTTCTCAGTAAATCTTCCTTATGCAACTCTCCATCTCTGTTCATCTGAAACTCATTTTAAAACAATAAGAGAGCTTTCTCCTTTTTTCCTTTTATCTTTTTGTTCATTTTTAGAGTATCACTATGAACTCATGGATTTTTGTTTATTAAATGTATTACAATAAATTGCTGCTATTGTTCTTTTTGGTGTTCAAATGATCTCAAAAGTGGTTAGTGAAGGTTCTTCATGATGCCCCCTATGTCCCTTAGACATATCCCACTAGTCTTTAAGTGCATTCTTGCTTTCTAGCAGAATAAGAAAACCATGCTCATCACGCATTCTTCCAGCCCCAGACCCAGAATCTAAAAAACTCTGGTTCCATTTTCATGGGAATGGTGGCAAGAGATCAAGACATGGGCACTAGGGGTAAACTGTTTTCTCTTAATTTCATTTTCTAGATGTGTTTTTGCTGCCATACAGAAATACAATTTATTTTTGTACAGAAATTTGACTGTGATCACATGAGAATTATAATCAAGTTCTCCTGAATCTCAGTCTATATCAGTTAGAAATATTTTCAGCTGCAAATAACAGAAAGTGGGTTCACAATTGACTAGGAAAACATGAAGTTTAATTAGCTCATTAATAAGGAGTTTGTTGATAGCCAGTCTGTGACTGATATAATACTAGTAGCATAATGATCCTGTCAGGGACCCAGTTTGTTACTATTTAACCACTTGTTACTTTGTTCTCATGTTTCTTGCCTGGTTCTTACAAGACCACTGGCCTACTCCCAGATATTATCTACATTCCAAGCAAGAATAAGGGAGAATAAAGAGGTTAATGATTAAGTCAAACTCCTTTCCAGGCTTTGCTTGTTTTATTTGAGAAAGATACCCTCTCCATATAATTCCACTTACTTGTTATTGGACAGAACTGTCACAAGTCCAACTCTTGATGTTAGGTACGTTAAAAAATTGAGCAACTTGGGTCTGTTGAGATTACCTTTTACAAGGAATTTTCACTTAATTAGAAACCTAACTGCCATTTAAAAACCATTTTCAGTTAGATATGAGTGGTGATTCTGGGCAAGGTTGGTGGCAGGCATAGGCATACATGTGCAAGGAAATGGCAAAGGGAAATCCTACAGTAAGGACAGGTACAGCAATGGCACCAGTTTGTTCCTAATATGTGGGGAAGAACAATGAAAACTGTCACCACTTACCAGGTGCCTACAGTCGCATTAGAGAGAACAGCTGTCTGCTACTCTATGCTGAGTTTTCGAAAGAGCAGAAGCCAGATTTTCCGGGGTCCCTGAAATTGTAGCCGCTGGATTTAGTTCAGGGCACTAGGCATCAGAGTTTCTCCCTCGTTTGTGTAGGTTGCTACCCTCCCACAGCCGAGTGCGGCTCCCAGGTCCTCCCCCAGGACCCTTGCAGGACTGGCCCTGAGTCCCCCCACTGACCCCTGAGCCTGAGAGGACAGCCAGACTCTGGGGGACTAGCCCCGGGCCCCTGCGCACTGTGAACAGCAGGCGTCGCTATTGCTCTTGTTCGGAGGAGCTGAAGGAAGTGGATAGGGTGGCTTTGGGAGGATGGAGGGACACAGAGTCCCCAGGGACACTTTGGAAAGGGGCCGCCGGAATAGCCCGCTCGCCTCTTGCCGCCCAGAGACCTCTCCCCAGTCCTCGCGGAAAATGGTCGCAGAGAACCACGTCAGATCCACTGTCCCCTAACGACGCCATGTCGGTCATTGCGGGTGGGGGGACAGGGAAGCTGGGACGCACCGGTTCTGCGCTTGCGCCGCCGCTCCGACCACGGGCTCCGGGGTAACTGGGTGCCGGAGCGGAAGTGCTCCGCTGACCCCTGACCCCGAGGGCGTGAGAGTCCGCTGCCTGTTCTCTGCGCGAAGCTGTCAGTTCCTGCGAGCAAAGTAAGGGGAGGCGGGCTTGGGGAAGCGCTTCACCGGGAGGTTCCGGGGGCGTCATGGGGTGCGGGGTCCAGCGACAGAGCAGGGGTGCGATGTGTGTTGCGGGGCGGACTGCGGAGTTCGAGTGATTGAGGGGTTCGCTGAGTGCCTAGTAAATGCCCTATGAGTGGGTACTACGACTGTCTTCATTTGATAGAGCGAGAGGAAGAACAGAAAAGCTCGGAAGCCTGTCCATAGTCACACAGCTAGGAAACTGGGGAAGCGTTTCCCTTTTTTTAAATTTGTGGAACTTCAGAGTCCTTGCTAGGTATGCTACCATCCAGTTCTGCCTTCTGTTGATGCTACTGTCACTGGGCCTGAGAGCATGACTTATTAGGCTACAAGTGCTAAACCCTGTTATTTCAATGCTGCCACAGGGATTGTAATAACGGTTATTCCGCACCAAAGCTCCTGGCTGAAACTTTCTTTGCAAAACTGCCCAACAAGGAAGAGCATGGTGACCAAATCAAAATCATGAGAAAGGGAGAAGGGATGGTGGGGTGAGCCAATGAAGGGCAGAGGGCGCAGGGGACAAAGTCAGTGGTTTCCAGCTCCATTGGAACTGTCCAGTGCTGGGCTCCTCTCCTCCCAGCCCTCTTAACCCTTGTTTGTCTCTTTTCCTCCAAACCACAGCAAGACATCCCTGTCCTCCAGACTTTGCTCAAGGTCTGTCATCTCTAGGGCTCAGTGTGATAATCGGGGATTTGTAATAATTTTTAATTTTTATTTGGCTAGTAATTAATATTCACTGTCAAAACTGAGAAATGCAAATAAACAAAAGAGGAAAGGTGACATCACCATTCAAAGGTAACTTTCAACATTTCAAAAATGCTCTTCCAGACTGCTCTTCCTGAGTACACACATACTGCTTAACAAATGGGATCACACTGCAGTTGCTTTTTGTAACCTGATTTTAAACATGTTAAGAAATGAAAACAGGCCCTAGCTGGATGGCTCAGTGGATAGAATGTCAGCCTATGGACTGGGGGGTCCCAAGTTTGATTCCGGTCAGGGCACGTGCCTGGGTTGTAGGCTTGACCCCCAGTAGGGAGCATGCAGGAGGCAGTCAATCAATGATTCTCTCTCATCATTGATGTTTCTATCTTTCTCCCCCTCTCCCTTCCTCTCTGAAATCAATGAAAGTATATTTTTTAAAAAAGAAATGAAAACAGGATTCCACACCATTTTTAAAGCCCATGTGGTATTACTATTTGTATTTTTTTTTCTATTTGTATTTCTTACTTTTTAACGGAGTTCCATTTGCTGGAGGTTTAGTTGAGTCCAAATTTTTGAATGGTGGAAACAACTACACTAACATCCTTGCAGCTTTGTACTCTTTGTATTTGCTTTTTTATGATAAATTTCCAGGAATAGAATTATTGAGAGAAAGGAGGTACCAGGTTATTAATAGCTTCTGAGTAGATGTTTTTAAACACGTTATACATCTGTCCAGGAAATGGGGAAAATTCCATGTGCAAAATCCACAAGTGCTTAGCAACATCTCAAGGGAATAGACTGGCCCTCCAGGCCATGTTTCCAGATTATTCTACCCAGGGTGCAAGGGTGATTATTGTTAGGCTGATGATTATGGTCTCATGGCTGTTTGCACTGATCTTGAACTTCCTAATTCTACCTTTGTAGATCTCCATCCTTTGTCCAGAGCAGAACAGAATGGCCATGTCCCAGGTGAGTGCCTCATTTCCGCCCTACTTTGTTTCCAGTGAGCTTCGGGCAGCTTTGGGGAATCTATAATGTAACCTTGAAAGATCTGTTAATCCCCTCTGCTCTGGCTGTTTTCTGTTCAACCTGTCGTGCACCTCAGGTTTCTCCAATCCTTGCCCTCCCCCAAAAAAGAATAAGAAAAGATAAAAGACACTTTTATCACCTTATTCCTCTGAGAAATTCACCTCATCTTTCTTCTCTTCCTTCTCAGAGAAGATTGTTTAAATACTTAGAATCATCTGGCTTCTTCCATTTTTCACTTCCAGTTCACTTTTGCCTTTTCTTTATGTTGAAAATAATGAAAGAAAATCCATGCTTAATGTTTTAATATTCATGAAAAATAGTAGGCAAAACAGTCCCATTTCTTCTCCCTCCAGTTCTTCCACAAGATGCCCATTGTTAACAGTTTGGTGATAGCATGGTGTGGATGCATTTACATCAGTTAAATTAACTAAAAACAGATACATATGTAATGTCGTACATGTTTTTGCACCAATGCCATCCAGCTCCCATATCCATCTTGCTTTTCCCATCTGATTATATATTCCAGGTGGTGTTCCTCATCCTATATAATAAAAGGTTAATATGCAAATTGTCCCCTTGACAGGGAGTTTGACCAGGGGGCGGGGCCAGCCATCCAACCTCCCGTGTCCCCTCCCCCCGGCCAGCCCAGCCCAATTGGCCCGATCAGGGTAGGCCAGCCAGACCCTACCCATGCACGAATTCATGCACCGGGCCTCTAGTTAATACATAAAGATTATTTTAGTTCCTATTTTGTAGTATGGATGTATCATTTAACTTTTTCTCTATTCATGGATACTTAGGTTTTTAATTTTCTTCTTTTATAAACAGTGCCTCTTAAACAACTTTCTAGGTATATATCCAGTAGTACAGATATTTATGGAGAATACACCTGGAAGTTGGAATTTTAAATCAAAGGTATTCACACTTCAAATTTGCCCTCCCAAATCCTAGATTAATTGCTACTTTCACAAAATTTTAAAGGCCAGGTCATTTCTATGTTCAGCTTTTCCAGGCTCTTGAAAGATGAAAAGGAATTCAATTCATTTTATGAAGCCACTTAACCTTACATTTGAAGAAGATACTACGATGTGAATCATAGACCATTTTTACTTAAGAATATGCATACTAAAATTCTAAAAACATATTCTAAATAGAGCATTAATGCATTGAATTGAGCATTTTTAAAAGTAATTTGTACATATGATAAAAATTCAAACAAAAGCGTTGTTTAACAAAAGGTGAAAAAGAATTCTTCCTGTTCCCCTGTCCCCTCATCTCCTTCATTTTTATACATTCTTCTAGATATCAGGTATGCATATGTACCTATCTTGAAATAAAAATCTTTTTTCCTTTTTTTCTTTTTCATATATTACAGCACATTCTGGTACTTTTCATGATCATTTTCCCTTCACTGTATTTGGCCAGCCCCGGGTTTTCTCAAATTGGTACTCTTGACATTTTAGGCCAGATAATGCTATATTGTAGGGAGCTTGAGTATACATTGGAGATATTCAGCAACATCGCTGACCTCTACCCTCTTGATGTCAGCACCCCCACCCCACATGGCAATGAAAAATTTTTACAGGCATTGCCAACTATTCCCTGGAAGACAAAATCACCCAGGGTTGTACCCCATTTACAAAGTGGCTGATTGATACCCCACTGCCTGAATGTACATTTAGGATGTTTTGATGCCATAAACAACATAGCAATACATATCCATGTACATTTCAGTTTGTAGCCATATCTGACCTGGTAGATAACTTTCTAGAGGTGAGAATTCTAGGTCAAAGGCTGTGAATCTTAAATTTTGACAGTTTAGGGCTTCTAAGCCAGGTGGCTCCCTCTCTTCTCTAGTGAGGTCATGGTCCCTAGCAACTGAGCTATCATTTGGAAGGAGTGAGAGGAGAGGGTGAGCTGCTCTGAGAACTCCTGCTCCCTGTCTCCTTCTTCTGCAGAGCTAAGTAAAACTGATGCCATGGAATGCCTATTGGAGCCTGGTGGGTGCAAAATGTTTCCTTGAATTCAAGACCACCAAGTGTTGGTGTGACAGTATAGGATCCAGAGTGTAAATAAATGGGTTATTGGTCTCTGACAGGAATCCGGGCACTTAGAAAAGTGAGTTTTTGTTTGGTGGTGACAAGCCAAACATAGACCTTCCTTTGTTTACCTCAATCTGCTGACCAGGCCAGACACAGATCCTCCGGCTTCCTGGGTTTTGTTGTGTGTGTGTGTGTGTGTGTGTGTGTGTGTGTGTGTGTGCGTGCGTGTGTGTGTGTTTATGATTGATTAGCTAAGATTAGAACCGTTGGTCATTATAAAGGAAAAACCCATTGAGTCCCTTCTGTATAAGGGAAAACCCAGTTCTTCCGCACCATGTCTTTCTTTCCTGTATTTCTCCTTTTTGTGTCTCTTTCGCTATTCACACAGAACACTTCCCTTCTGCCACTTCTGGTCACCAAATGTGTGGAGGTTTTTCCCCATAGCAAGCACTTCTTTGTCACTGGGTATCCTACAGTCTAACTCAATTTTTGTTTTTTACATTCTCCAATATATTTTATTTTTTATTTTGTTTTTTTGTGTGTGTGTGACCACAAATAAATCTTTATTTTATTTCTTATTGCTTAAAGTATTACAAAGAGTATTACATATGTCTCCTTTTTTCCCCTTGACCTTCCCCTGGCCTCCCCTACCCCCTAGTGTCTGTGTCCATTGGTTATGCTTATATGCATGCATACAAGTCCTTCGGTTGATCTCTTACGCCTCCCCCCCCCAACCCTTCCCAGCCTTCCCACTGTAATTTGACAGTCTGTTCGATGTTGCTCTGCTTCTGTATCTATTTTTAACACTAACTACCTGAAGAGAGCATCAGATCCCACAAGTTAAGGGCTCAGTCCCACAAAACTGCCCACCACACCTGTGTTTCTGACCAAGCAGCCATAGATCCCAGAGGTTCCAGTGACTCCCCATCTTGGTTAATTTGCTAGAGTACCTCACAGAACTCAGGGAAACATAGGCTATGAGAAAGGATACACATGAGCTTCCAGAAGAAGAGCTACATAGGGTGAGGCCTGGGAGGGTTCTGAGTGCAGAAGCTTCTGTCCTCATGGAGTTGGGGGGGCGTCACCCTCCCTGTATGTGGGTATGTCCACCCACCTGGAAGCTCCCTGAATCCCTTACTATAGGAATTTCTTCAAGGCCTCCCCTCATACATACACTCAGTTATGAACTCCATTTCCAGCCCTGGTCCTTTCTCTGGAGGATGGTGGTTGGGGCTGAAAATTCCAAGCTTCTAATCATGGCTTGGTCTTTCTAGTGACCAGCCCCCCATTCAGGAGTCAATCAAGAGTCACCTCTTTAGAACAAAAGGCGTTCCTAGTGCCAGGAACCAGGGAGCAGATACCAAATATATATTTTCTCTTAGTTCACAGTCATGATTGAGTAGCTGCATTTAGAACCGTTCTAGTTCTGTAGTCTCTGTGAAGTCTTCTGTGTCAGCCCCAAGGAGAATTTACATCTTCCTCTCCTCTGTTCATAGACTTCTCTGTCACTGTCCTCTGAGGGCTGACAACCCTCCTTCTCTGTCACTTTCCCTCCCTCCCTCCCTCCTTCCCTCTATCCCTCCCTCTCTCTCATATATGAGTTTCTAAGTGTTGTTCTTTTACCTCTGCTATGCTGAAGCTCCTTCCGCTCAGGAGGGGTTCGTTTTTATTAATCTTTACATCCTTGGAACTTAACTGCTTGGTCACTATTCAATAAATATGGGTTGAAAGAATGAATTTCCAGGGTAAGATCTGTTTTTTCATAAAGTTTAAAATAACTTTGTTACATAAACACTTTATATATCCTATACTATGTCAAATTGTGGACAGTGAACAGCATAAGGACAATTATATAGAGGAAGGCAATGCAGTGTGCTGTGTTAAAATGTAGGTGTGGAGACCTGGCAAGTGTGCTCAGTGGTTAGAGCATCAGCCTGTGCACCAAAGGGTGGCAGGTTCGATTCCCAGTCAAGGACAGGCACCTGGGTTGCAGGTTCACTCCCGGCCCTGGGTTGGGGTGCAGGTGGGAGGCAACCAACCGATGTGTCTCTCACCTCTCTCTCTCTCTCTCTCTCTCTCTCTCTCTCTCTCTCCCTTCCTCCCTTCCACTCTCTCTGAAAAGCAATGGAAAAAATATCCTCTGCTGAGGATTAACCAAAAAAAATGTGGGTGTGGAAACCAGACCACTTGGGTTTTAATCCCTAATTCCTAGGTACATGACCTGGGGTGAGTAACTTTTCACTGTGTGTGCCTCACTGTCTTCATCTGTCAGGGTTCTGGGTGGGAGCAAGGATCGAAATACTTAGGATAGGCACAGAGTAGGCAGTTGATACAAGTCATATATATCCAGTCCCCCGAGCGCATCACTCTGGGCTAGAGAAAAATGTGCTGTTGTAGGAATCATTGACCTTCAGAGATGTGTTTGTGGACTTCACCTTGGAGGAGTGGCAGCAACTGGACTTTTCTCAGAAGAACCTCTACAGGGATGTCATGCTGGAGAACTACGGCCACCTGGTCTCTGTGGGTGAGGGACTGCTCCATGGTGTGGCTAGAATACCCCTACTCATGTCTCCCTCTCTCGGCTGTTGCATGCTCAGGGGTGTCTGAAGCCCTGAATGAGTTCAGGCCTAAGGCTCACTGTCAAGAATTCATAATCCTGTTTGCACCCGGCACAGTATGTTTATGCTCTTGCTTTCTATGTGCATGTTCTGCATGAGGGGAAAATAGCTGTGCTCATGGGACGGTCACTGAGGCCAGACCATCTTCACCCTGCAAGGATGGGCCTCGGTTCTAGACTGCCTCCAGCATTAATAATACAGTCCTGGGTCATTTCACCTCCACAGGATACCTGGTGGATACACCAGATGTGATCTTCAGGTTCGGACAAGGAGAAGAGGCCAGGAGGGAAGATGGAGAACCCATAATACAGAGCTGTCCAGGTGAGCACGTGCCAGCCAGTCAGGACAGGGCCAGGAGAACACAGTAGAGCAGTGAGAGCTTGGCCTTGGGCATGCCCTTGAGCTCTTCTCAGAGCCCTAGCCTGAAGGACAGGACTCAGGTTGAAATGAGTTGCTGTGATATCCACAGGATGCCCCCCATACACTGGTTGCCTAGTGAGAAGTGCTAAGCCTTTTCTTCTCCATCTTTTCTGGAACCTTCAGGGCTTTCTCCCTCTTGAGCATTTATATTTTCATCAGAATAGAAGTAGATGCAGGTGTGATGTTTCCTCTTTATTTGCTATATGGTGGGCCCTTTGAGTCTGAAACTTGGAGTCTTGTCTTCAACCTCAGGGAAATGATCCTACCTGGCTTAATAGAATCAGTGTGGACAAAAAAGCTTTGCTAATGACCTTCAACTCTACCAGACTAGGTACCCACTTGTCTTTTCCTGCCCTCACGGTGTGAGTGAACAGTGTCAACATTCACACAGGTCTCTGTTTTCTCTTCTTATTTCCTCTCAGACTCTTCCAAAACTGACTTGTGACTGCTGGTTTTCCTATTCCTCCTCTTATCAGTACTTCCTTCCCACTCAACTCTTTTGTCTTTTGTATTATCTGTTTATTCAAAAAAATAAAATAAAAACTGGAGAGAACATTACTTTATGGTGGCAAGCTTCAGTGATCCATACCTCAGTCCTGGACAGAGCTGCTTTTTTCCCCTTATCTGTTTGTTTTTGCTCTGCACCCCTAATGGGAATTCAAACACTCTTCAGATGTTAGTTTTCCTCTTTCTCCCCCACTCACAGTGGCCACTCAGTGTGCCTATTCCAAATAAGTCTGTCTAGAACAGTGATGGCAAACCTTTTGAGCTCGGCATGTCAGCATTTTGAAAAACCCTAACTTAACTCTGGTGCCGTGTCACATATAGAAATTTTTTGATATTTGCAACCATAGTAAAACAAAGGTTTATATTTTTGATACTTATTTTATATATGTAAATGCCATTTAACAAAGAAAAATCAACCAAAAAATGAGTTCGCGTGTCACCTCTGACACGCATGTCATAGGTTCGCCATCATTGGTCTAGAATGCTGCTACTATTCAGTGTGGTTCATGGACTAGCAACATGGTCAAGGCCTGGGCTCTAAGTAGAAATGCACCTCAAATTGACTGAATCTGAATTTGCTGTGAAAATTAGTGTCAGAGCTACAGCCATAGTCAGATACTGACCCGACTGATCTCAAGTGACTCCTGGGTGCCTTTCCCAGAGCCCATGCCTACTGGGCAGAGGCATCCTCTCCCTCAGAACCTTCCTGTGCAGGCGTACACCCACCACTCTGTAGCTTCTCCCAGGGACATTTTGGGCTACAATTTCCTCTTCATTGCTCAGTCATTCCCATATCTACTGCCTTGTAGAGATTCACTGGGAGTTCCAGTCTACTAATGGCATGCCTTTTCCTACTTCCAATGTTTCCAGGGATTATAATGAGTGTGAATTCATTCTTATTTCAGTCGTATCCTGGAAGGAGGAAAAGCAAACTAGAGGCACAGTCCAGTCTTGGAGTTCTGATTCCCTTATATAAAAAGCATACAATATTGCCCTGGCTGGTGTAGCTCAGTTGGTTAAGCATCATCCTGTGCACCAAAAGGTCACCGGTTCTATTCCTGGGCACATACCCAAGTTTTGGGTGCGATTCCAGGTCCAGGGGCATATGCGAGGACATGGATCAATGTTTCTCTCTAAAATCAATGAAAATAGTTTTTAAAAGTATCCTTCCTTCCTATATAACAAAAGCCTAATATGCAAATCGACCAAACAGCAGAACAACTGGTGGAACGACCGGTCGCTATGATGCGCACTGACCACCAGAGGGCAGACGCTCAACGTAGGAGCTGCCCCCAGCCTGCAGGCCCCAGGCCAGCCAAGGCAGGTGCCAGCGCCTCCCCCTCCCCAGATTGCTCTGCATCGCCCCACAGAGGGAGGCGACCTGTGGCAGCAGCGGGGGGCAGGGCCGGCGAGTGGGTGGCGCCAGGCCAGCCAAGGTGGGTGCCAGTAGGGGCCCCCCAGACCGCCCTGCCGGTTGCCCCACAGATCAGTCCTGATCACCGGCCAGGCTTAGGGACCCTACCCCTGCACGAATTTTGTGTCCTGGGCCTTTAGTAAGATATTAAAAGTAGTGGAGGCTCATGTTATGTAGGAGTTCTGAACACTATGTTATTCAGAGTAATCCTAGTGTGTTTCTAGTCACACTTCCAAGTGCAGCCTCTTTTCAGGGTTTCTGTTTTTAATTCTTGGGAGTGTTTAGTTTTGCCACCCTTCTGTGAAATATAAGGATTTAGCTCAATTACACATTGGCCTTCTGCTCCCCAGCTCCTTCACAACTTTTAATTTTTTTTTATTTTTAGTTTCTTTAATTTGCTGGTTCTTTATGTTGGATAATTTTGGATTCCATCGTAGATACTGGTGATTATTGTTGTTTTAATATTCATTTATCATGTAATTAACCTGGTTAGATTCAGACCACTAGTTTCATCTCACCATCTGAGGGTGTTGGTTACAGTCAGTTCAGTTTTCAAAGCCTTCGCTGTGCTCCTTTGGACCTGTGTTGTGTATGCACCTTTCAAGAGTTAATGTAAGACTTGAGTGATGGTTTAAGTCTTTGTACAATTTTCAAAGTCTTCACTGTCCTGCTTTAGGTCTGTCTCTCACACGTGTTACTCAGGTGTTGGTCTCAGACTTGAGCTGTGGTTTAAATCTTAGTTTAGTTCAGTTCTTAAAGCTTTCCTATGAAGCTTTGCTTTCCTTGCATGCACAGCTCTTGGATGAGCTCATGTCTTATGGAGATTCATATGCCATTGGGACAAAGTTTTGTGAAAAAAAACTGAGTGATGTACAGCCTGCTTTTCCACTTTCTGGTTCACCTTCAAGTTTCTCCGCTTTTGTTTACTTGTTAGAATCCTCAAGTAGTTGCTTTACATACTTTGTCCAAAGTTTTTAGTTGAAATAATCAATAGACATACTTCATTGTAGCCAGACGTAGAAACCTCAAATTCATTAATTCTAGGTTTTATCTTTATCTCTGTCCTTTTGCTAGTTTGAATTTAATTTTCTCTTTTCCTAGTTTCATAAGGTAGAAGCTTAGATCATTAATTTGATAGCTTATTTTTCTAATATAAGCATTGCGAATGCTATGACAGTCTTTAAGAACTGATCTAGCTATTTTAACACCTTTATTGTATAATTGACATACAAGAAATTGCACATATTTAAAGTGTATAATTTGATAAGTTTTGACATGTACACACCCATGAATCTATCACCACAATCAAGATAATGAAGTCATAGATGAGTTGGAAGTATTCCTGCATCTCTTCAGTTCTTTGGAAGAATTTGTGTAAAATTGGTACTAGTTTTTACTTAAATGTTTGATAGAATTCTCTAGTGAAGGCATCTGGGATTGGAGTTTACTTTGTGGGAAGGTATTAAATTACAATTTCAATTTCTTTAATAGATATTGGGTTATTCAGATTATTCTTGAATTAATTTGGTAATTTGTACCTTTCAAGGAATTAGTTCATTTCACCTAAATTGTCAAATTTATTGGCATATAGTTGTTCATAATATTCCCTTATTATCCCTTTTATTTTTGAGGGTCAGTGGTAATCTCATTTTAGTTTTTAAAAAGTCTAGTTTCATATAGTAGTGAAAACTATGAACTTCATTTAAAGGGAAATCTTTCCCCATTTTCCCCTCTTGAGTCCTGCTCCCCTCATTCCCTCCCTGGACAAACAATATCACGAATATGGTGAGTATCCTTCTAATCCTTGTTTTTATACTTTTACTACATATCTGTCATTAATATAACATTCTTTTTGTAAATTTACCAGATTAGTGTTCTCAAACAATAGGCGTCTTTCTATAACTTGCTTTCTGTATTCAGTGTTGCACTTTGAGCTTTACCTATGCTGATATGTTATATTTACTAGTTCATTCATTTTAACTCTTGTATAGCATGCCAATGTCTGAGTATCACAGTTCATTAATCCATACCTCTATTGGTGAGCATTTGGTTGTTTCTAATACTTTTGTTGCCCTTCTTGTACATGTATCCCGACTCACATTTGCAGAATTTGTCTATGGTGTAACTACAAGTGGAATACCTGGTAGGGTATGTACATTTTCAATATCACTAGGTGTATTATGTCTTTTCTCTCATAAATAAGTTCAGTTTGCCTTGTGTGCTTAAGAGTTTTGCATCTATGTAAATGAAATTTCTTTATAATATGCTCATATTCTGACCTTATTTGCTTTTGGCATTAAGTTCATTCTGTTTTGTATAATATTAAGCATTGTTTTACTATAATGTTATTTTCAACATTTCTCTCTCATTTTGTTCTAATTGTCTTTTGAAAGCAAAGAGCTGATGTTTAAAAATACCATTTAATATGGTCAGCTTTTAGTTAATATTTATTTATTATGTTATTACTTATATTTGTATTTCTTACTTGTTTGTATTTTCTATATAACCTGCTTTTTCTTTACCTCTTTTTTTCTGCTTTTGCTGTATTTTCCTTACCGCCTTTTTCCCCTTTGGCCGTCTTCCTCCTGAATATTTCAAGTACCAAGCATTATTCTTAGCCATGCTGTGGCAAATTCTCTGTCTTTTCTTGTCCAAAAATGTCTATATTTGTCATCTTTCTTTGAAATAAATTATCTAGGAATAGAGTTATAAAATGTAGTTTCTCTCAGGACTTTGAAAATATTCTTTAATATTTTTGCTTTTTTTTAAACCTAGATAGGGGGTCTCAAGATCACTACCAGATTCATATATTCTTGAGAAAGATGCATGGGAATCAGCATATAGTTGTACTTACAGCTAAGATTTATTACAATGATGAAGTGAGCATATATAATTAGATCATAAGGGGGAAAACAGTCATAGATTCTGGAGGAATTCATGTATAGTATCCCTTATGCTTTCTCTCTCCCATGAAAGGTCACACAGGGCACACTTCTCCTAGTAGTGAAATTCAGCAACCTGTGTGGTGTTTATGCCCAGGGAAGACTATTAGAGGCTCACCACCCTCAGATTTTGTTTGAGGCTGGTCAGATACACAAACTTGGCTTAGCACATACCAAAATGCCAGACTCCCAGAAGGAAAAGAAATGTTCCGCATAAATCACAGGGTTTGTATGAGCAGCCTTATCTCTTAGGGAATGGTGGGGACATTCCTGAGCTCCAAATTCCCAAATGTCAGCCAAGGGCCAGCCTCCCAAGGAGGTCTTCCTAAGTATAGCACTCTCAAGGCTTCTTTGTTAACCTATGTCTTGGTATATTGCCTCTCTCCATTTTCTCTATTCTTCCATTTGGATGTTATATTAAACTTATGTTGAAACTTATCATTTCTCTATTTCTCTTAACATATTTCTATGTTGTTAGCTCTTTATGCTACATTTTTTGTGTTATTTCTCAAGCTGTCATCTAATTCATTAAATCTGTCTTTATCTGTGACTAGTTCAACCTCTCTAGTTTAACACCTATATATTCTTTTATATTTATACGAGAGGCCAGGTGCACAAAAATTTGTGCACTCGGGGGGTCCCTCAGCCCAGCCTGTGCCCTCTCGCAGTCTGGGACCCCGTGGGGAATGTCCACCTGCTGGCTTAGGCCCACTCCCCAGGGGGATCACGCCAAAGCTGGCAGTCAGACATCCCTTTGGCAGCCCGGGAGCCCTCGGGGGATGTCCACTTGCCAGCGGGGAGCAGGCCTAAGCTGCAGTCGGACATCGTTAGCGCTGCTGAGGAGGCGGGAGAGGCTCCTGCCACCACCACTGTGCTGGTAGCCGTCAGCCTGGCTTGTGGCTGAGCAGAGCTCCTCCTGTGGGAGCGCACTGACCACCAGGGGGCAGCTCCTGCATTGAGCATCTGCCCCCTGGTGGTCAGTGTGTGTCATAGTGACCAGTCATTCCCAGTCATTCTGCTGTTAGGGTCAATCTGCATATTACCCTTTTATTATATAGGATTCCCAAAAATTTCCTATTTTTCAACCCATAGTCCAATTCTTACCTGATTTTTTTGTATACTTAAAATGTATGTATTTTAAAGTCCATATGTTTCTACTAGATATATTTCTAGGAATGTGGGAGTATCTTTAAATGTATCTGCTAATTCTCTCTCACAATGATTCATTTCCTTGTGAGGTTTTTAATTGCTTACTGTGAGCTCTTCAGTGAGAATTGGTTTTCCATAGATGGGCTGTGAGCCCTAAACTATAAAAACATAACAATATAGGGTATGTACATTGTTGGAAAGTTTTAGAAAGTTTGCCATTGCTAAGAACCTACTAATAACAGGACCAATTTTCAGGTTAATTTTTCAGATTGTTGTTGCTGTACTACACTGATAATCACTTGAATTGGGTTACAGAACTAGGTTTTTTGTTTCTTACACAATAGAGGCCCAATGCACGAAATTCATGCACTGGAGGGGGTCCCTCAGCCCAGTCTGCACCCTCTTGCAGTCCAGGACCCCTCAGTCTTTACCACCCTCCTGCTCGCTGCTCCTTACCGCCACCACCACTATGCTTGCCAGCCGTGAGCCTGACTTCTGGCTGAGCAGTGCTCCCCCTGTAGGAGTGCACTGATCACCAGAGGACAGCTCCTGTGTTTGCTCCCTGGTGGTCAGTGCACATCATAGCGACCGGTTCTGGTCGTTCCGCCATAAGTGTCGCTTAGGCTTTTATTATATAGATAATGTCCTTATCTTCAATTTCCTTGACCACTGGGGAGTCGTTCTAGTTCCTGTTAAACAAGCATGGAAACACCTTGTGATTCCAGCTTTAAGCACAAATTACATTCCTGAACATTTGTGCCCTATGGTCTGGAGTCCCCTGCAAATCCTCAAACTTCAATTTCTGTTCATCCCACCACTTTAAATTCCCACTTCACTTTTCACATGTATTAAGTTTATTTTCTTGATTTTGAGCTTGACTGTGTTTTAAATTATTTTTGTTAAATAAGGGCCAGCATTTCTTTGCCTTTTCATTTGGTAGTGGTGGAGGAGCATAGGGAGGGTCCATCCACATCAGCTCAAATCTATTGATAGGAATTCTCAGTGGGATGTTTATTAATTAATTTTATCCTAGAACATTATAGTAGGAGCATTTACAAGTTTGATGATTTATTGCATTTTTTTCCCTAGAATTCTGGAAAGTTGATGATCAGAAAGATAACCACAAGAAAAGCCAAGATAAATCTCTGTGGCAAGCTACATTTATACACCAGGAAACTCTGAAGGATGCGAGTGACCAAGAAGTAAGAACATGCGGAAAAATTATTTATCCCAGCACAGACTTTGTTTCTATAAGAAAAAGACTCCTTAAACATTATTCATGGGAAAGATGTTCAAAACATAATTTGAACTTTCTTAGTCAAAATAGAAGCTATGGAAAAAAAGAAAGATGATGAATATCAGGCATATTGGAAATTATGCTTCCATTCTAATCTTGATAAAGCTCAACCTGGAGAGAAAATCTTTGAACCTAAACACCATGGAAAAGCCTTCCACCATAAGCGAGCCCTTAAAAGTCAGAAAATTCAAACTGGGGAGAAACCCTATGAATGTCCTGACTGTGGAAAAGCATTTATCCAGAAAGGAAACCTTGCTGTACATCAGAGAACTCACACTGGAGAGAAACCTTATGAATGCTGTGAATGTGCAAAAGCCTTCAGCCAGAAGTCAACCCTCATTCCACACCAGAGAACTCATACAGGGGAGAAGCCCTATGAATGCAATGAATGTGGGAAAACCTTTATCCAGAAGTCAACTCTAATCAAACATCTGCGAACTCATACAGGAGAGAAACCATTTGTATGTGGTGAATGTACAAAAACTTTTAAGAGTTCATATCACCTTATTAGACATGAAAAAACACACATTAGACAAGCATTTTATGAAGGTATCAAACGTGGTAAGTCAATCCTTATGCATCAGAGGACTCAGACGGGTGAGAAACCTGAATGCAATAAACACAGGAAAACCTTTTATAAGAAACCCATCCCCATTAAACATCAGAGAATGCATACAAAAGAGAAAACTTTTGAGTGCAACAAATGTGGAAAAAGCTTCAAGGGAAAGTCAGACCTCTCTGTTCATCAGAGAATTCACACAGGAGAAAAACCCTATGAATGTAGCATATGTGGGAAGACTTTCAGTGGAAAATCACACCTCTCTGTACATCATAGAACTCATACAGGAGAGAGACCTCATGAATGCGGAAGATGTGGGAAAGCCTTTGGTGAGAAATCGACCCTTATTGTACATCAAAGAACTTATACAGGAGAAAAACCCTATAAATGCAATGAATGTGGGAAAGCCTTCAGTGAGAAGTCATCACTGATTAAACACCAGAGAATTCATACAGGAGAGAGACCCTATGAATGCAGTGACTGTGGGAAAGCCTTTAGTAGGAAGTCAACTCTCATTAAACATCACAGAATTCATACAGGGGAAAAACCATATGAGTGTGGCGAATGTGGGAAGGCTTTCCGTGTGAAATCAACTCTCATTGTACATCATAGAACTCATACAGGAGAGAAACCCTATGAATGCAAAGAATGTGGCAAAGCCTTCAGTGGGAAGTCAACTCTCATTAAACATCAGAGAAGTCATTCAGGAGATAAAACCTCTTAATATACTTAAGAGTGGTGTAACATCACTAGCAGTTATACTTCATTGTATATCAATTCATCCTCGGGAGTAACTCTTAAAGGTCAGAAATTCTTCATATAGTATTTAATGTTCATTTAACTTAATAAAAAGTAATATTGCAGAAGCATATAATAAATGTGATCAATATTTCACCCAAAATTCTTATGCATGCATGGCAAATTGTATATCAAAGAATTCAAAAGTGGCAAAACTGTGTCTTGGTGTTGGAAAGCCTTTGGAGAGAATTTAAATGCCATTGCATATCAGAGTATGCTGTGGAAAACTACAATAAAGCGTAAAATATTAATCCTAGCTAAGGCAAACTTCCAGTGTATTTCTTAAATAGAGTGAGAAAGGATGAGTCAGCATGATTCATGAGAGAAGATCAAACAGAAGATCTTCCACATATTTATCAGTATATTCAGTGCAGAATTGCAAACACAGAAAAGACAAATAGTAAGCTTTGACAGAACTTGCTTAGGAACAGTGCTTACAACATAATATTTTGTCTTTTAAGAAAGGTTAATCATTTTATGGTTACACTAGAGGCCCGATGCATGAAATTCATTCAAGAGTACATCTTCCTTCCCCCGGACTTCTGGCACCGCTTCCCTATGGCATCTAGGACCTGGGCTTTCCTCCGGCCGTTGGCAGGCTCCCAGTACCTGGGCTTCCCTCACAGCCCTGGCTTTGTCCAGAAGGTCGCCTGGAAGGACATCCGGTCTAATTAGCATATTACACTTTTATTATTAAATATTTTATGAGGCAATGAAAGATTTTTAATTTTTAGTGTATCTACCATCACAGCAATAATGCACAGTAGCCAAGTTCCTGAGATACTAAGAGCTTTCCGCAGAATTATGTGCCAAGGAGATCAAACTGAAAGTTCAGATCCCACCAGTGATGATAGGCCCTGGTAAAAACCACGGACTTTCAAGTGGATCTTCTTTTAAATATATATATTTGAAAGAATTACATATGTCTCCCTTTTTACCCCATTGACCCCTTCTAGCCTGCCCCCTACCCCCTGCCCCAGACCTTCACCACACTATTCCGTGTCCATGGTTATGCATATCCCAATATATAAAAACCCAGGGTCCATAACAACCGACCGAAGGCTCGACCAAACACCAGAAGTCAGTTCTGCTAGTCAGTGCTGGGTTGCTGTGGCGACCCAGCACTGACTGCTGCCGCTGAGGGTGCAGCGACCCAGCACTGACTGCTGAGGAGGCTGCAGATTAGGCCCGGAGAGAGAGGCAGGGTCTGCTCTGCAGCCTCTGCGGCAGCTGTTGACCAGCCGTTGCCTCTCTCTTTCTCTCCGGGCTTTGCTAGCAGCCACGCCTCTGTTTCTCTCCAGGCCTCCACAGGGGGGCTGCTGATCAGCCCCGCCTCTCTGACCAGGCCCGGAGATAGGCCCAGAGACACTGACTGTGCATAGAAACCGACCAGAACCAAATTGGCTAGTAGGGGAGGGCAGTTGGGTGCGAGGTCAGGCCGACAGGGGAGGCAGTTGGGGGCAACCAGGCCAGCAGGGGAGGGCAGATGGGGCAAGACAAGGCTGGCAGGGGAGGGCAGTTGGGGGCAAGATCAGGCTGGCAGGAGAGGGCAGTTAGGGGTGATCAGGTGGCAGGCAGAGGGGTTAGGGGCAATCAGGCAGGCAGGCAGGTCAGCAATTAAGAGCCAGCAGTCCCAGATTGTGAGAGGGATGTCCGACTGCCGGTTTAGGCCCGATCCCACAGGACATCCCCCAAGGGGTCCTCGATTGCAGAGGGTGCAGGCTGGGCTGAGGGAATCCCCCCCCCCCGTACACAAATTTCATGCACCAGGCCACTAGTATACATATAAGTTCTTTGGTTGATCTCTTTCCACCCACCCCCACATTCCCTCTGAGATTCAATTGGATCTTCTGAAGAACTTTACCTAGGAATTAGTGTGAATAAATCTTTAAAATATTGATACCCTACCATGAATTAGCTCCTACTATAATTGCCTGTCAGAAACTACAAGTCATCTAGAGCACCTACAATTTCTCATGCACAGAATCAAAACTAAGGTAAAAGTAGACAAGAGAAGCAGACCCACAGCTAATTCAGGCATAGAAGTTAAAAGTCATGGCCTTTAGGCCTGTCCAGTGTCAGGGCACATGCCCAGGTTTGCAAGCTCAATCCCCAGTAGGGGACATGCATGGGGCAACTGATCAATGATTCTCTCTCATCATTGATGTTTCTATCCCTCTCTCCCTCTCCCTCTCTGAAATCAATTTAAAAAAATTTAAAACATAAAAATATATTTTAAAAAATAGTCATGGTCTTTAAAATAACTGAATAATATGAACAAGAAAATTTATAAAATGAGGAAATTCATAACAAAGCAAATTATTTCCAATAATTATTTACTGTTTTGCTTAGCTTTTTATTCTCCTGGAGTCTCAAATTGCCCCTTTTGTTTGTTTGTTTTTCCATGGTCACAAACATGCCATCTAATCTATGGAATTCTCCTTCTCTCTGGTATTAGAATTCAGGATAGTTATTAACTTTTAAGAGGAGGATTCAGAAAGAGTAAAAGCAGGACCCTCAAATAGGGTCAATAGCAAGCTAGAAACTTTGTCCAAAGAGTATCTACAGAAGGTGGTATTGCTATGCTCAAAATCCTCATGGAATGAATAATGTGACCCACAAACAGGGACTTTCCAAAGGCTCCCTTCCTCTCTCTCTCTAAAATCCATAAAAAAAATATTTAAAACTATATCCTGCTAATGCCTGTCTTTTAATTGGATAGTTTAAATCATTTATGTCTAAAGTGATCACTGGTGAGGAAGGACTTTTTCTGTCATTTGCTATTTGATTTTTCTATAATTTGTGTTCCTCAATCCCTTCATTACTGCCTTCTTTTGTGTTTCATTGATTGCTTTCCCTTTTAGTGTGCTGTTTTGATTGCTTCCTCATTTCCTTTTTTAAAAAATACATTTTATTGATTTTTTAAAGAGAGGAAGGGAGAGGAATAAAGAGCTAGAAACATTGATGTGAGCGAAACATTGATCAGCCGCCTCCCCACTGGGGATGTGCCCGCAACCAACGTACATGCCCTTGACTGGAATCGAACCTGGGACCCTTGAGTCCGCAAGCCGACGCGCTATCCACTGAGCCAAACCGGTTAGGGCCTCATTTCCTTTTTTGTTTATTTTTTTAAAATATGTCTTTATTGATTTTAAAAAGGAAGGGAGAGTGAGAGAAACATCCATCAGTTGCCTCCCATACACTCCCCAACCAGGGATCGAACCCACGACCCAGATATGTGCCCTAACCTGGAATCAAACCCACAACCTTTTCAAAAAATATATATTTGTATTGATTTCAGAGAGGGAGAGGGATAGAGAGCTAGAAACAACAATGATGAGAGAGAATCATTGATCGGCTGCCTCCTGCATGCCCCCCACTGGGTATCCAGCCCACAACCCGGGCATGTGCCCTTGACTGGAATCAAACCCGGGACCCTTCAGTCCGCAGGCCAACACTCTATCCACTGAGCCAACCTGGCTAGGGCAAACCTGCAACCTTTTGATGTAGGGGCGACACTCCAACTAACTTAGCCATCCCAGCCAGGGTGGTATACCATTGGATTTTCATTTCCCTGAGGGATAATGGTGTTGAACATCTTTTCATGTGCTTATTGGACATTTCTATATCTTCTTTGCATAAATGTCTAGTCACATCCTATACCCATTGCCTTTATTTTTGAAAAATAGTTTTGCTAAATATAGAATTGGCTGTTGACACATTGTTTTCTTCTGGCACTTTGCATATATTCTTGGTGCTTCCTACTCCTGTAACACTGCTTTCTGGCCTCCACTGTTTCAGATGAGAAGTCATTGTGATTCCCTTGCACATACTATGATGTCCTTGTACCCAATGAGTCACTTTTCTATTGTGGCTTTTAGTATTTTGGTTTTGGCTGTCAATGGTTTGAATATATGTTTAGGGATAGAGATCTTTGTGTTTATCCCACAGGGGATTCATTAAACTTATTTTATGTCAAGATTAATATTTTTCGTCAAATTTGGGGTTGTTTTAGCCATTATTTTCTCCCCAACATTTTTCTGCCCCTTTCTCTTTCCTCTCCTTCTGGTCAATATCCAGAGTTCTGAAGTGATTGTTTTTTGCAATTTTGTCAGTTTTACCATTGCTCCTCATTAAGCCATTTTTGGAAGTTCCACCTATACAGTAGCTAATTTTAATACCTAATACTTCCATATCAACTGCAAACAGCTGAAAACAGAGGGCAAGTGGACCTGAGAAATAGTTGCTTGTTAAACCATTTAAAAGAATAGTTTATCTGAATTGCCCATTGGAAAAAGCTTATTCTCAAACAAAGCAGAGTAGGGAGTAATATTTGCTTATGTGACCTGGTAATTCTTCACTGACCAAACTAGTATAATCATCTCGCTAAAAGAAAAGTTCTATAATCCTAAGTAGTTAATCATGTTGACTGGGAAAAATAATACTTCACACAACAAAGTTGAATTGTACATTTTTTCTTCCTCCAGCAGATGGTGACATTTTATAGACTATGGATAAATTGTCCAGACCAGTAAGCTAAGTGACTAAAATAGAATTGTCTCTAGTTTGTTTTCTCTATCTACATCTTGAATTCATTTACAAAATGGCATTCATCAAGAAGTCACACTTATAAAAGAAGACCAAGAATAATAAAAAATCATGACCAATATTGACAGTGAAATTTTTCAAGTTCTTAGCTGCATTGTGTGTTTTCACATTTGGCATGAAGTCACATCAGCTTGCCTATATACAAAAATAGAACAGCAAGGACAGAATGCTAAAGTGGGCAACTGTTTCTTTAAATAATGTCCATCTCTGATACCTCTTCATTTCTTGCTATGTGAGTTTCAAATCTAATGAGATTTCACAGACTGAGATGTGGACAAAAGGCAATTCAGGCAGAGGAAACAACTTGAGCTCAGACTTAGAAGCATCAAACTATATGACATTTTTGCCGGACCCGGAACTGTTTGGCTAGAACACACAGCATAAAACACACAGTGCTACCAACTGAACTGGAGTGGAGGATAGAAGAGGCAGAGGAAGGAATTGGTGGGAAGTGAGACTGTAGGTTGGGGCCAGACTATAAAATATTTAGAAG